CGATCGACTTCTTCGGCGTCTGCTCCTACTACGACATGGACAACACGAACGAGTACCTCTCCAACGCGGTCCTCGCCCACAACTACAGCGAGCCGAACGCGGCGGTGCACGAGGCGGCCACGGTCGCGTCCGGCGGCCTGGCCCTCCCCCACGGCCGCACGTGGGGCCTCCACCTCTGCCTCCCGCAGAACGACACGGAGCACCCGTACCCCTGCACGATCAGCGCGGCGCCGCAGGAGTTCTACGGCAACGGCGAGCTCTCGGACTTCATGATCCTCGACCCGCTCGGCTTCATCCACAACCCCATCCAGGACGAGACGGAGATCTGCGCGAAGCACACCGAGGGCCTCTGCGACTGGTCGAACTCGGCCGTGGAAGTCACCGGCGAGTTCAAGTACGAGTACCCCGTCGACTCGCCGATGGAATGGTCGCCCTACGCGAAAGCGTACCCCGCGGTGGACAAGGACGACATGGTCGCGGCGGCGCTCGGCCCGGGCGCGACGTGCGCGAACACGATCGCGCACAACTGCTCCATCTACGTCACCTACGCCTGCCCGGTCACCTGCGCGGCCTACCTGCCGCAGTACTTCCCCGACCACCACGCCGCCAACTATTTCTACGACCAGAACAACCTGTCGATGGCGATCTGGGACGGCTACACGTGCGCGGACAACCTCCCGTACTGCTACGACCCGGCGACCGTGCTCGTCTGCCCCGAGACCTGCGACGGCTGGTCCCAGCCCACCGAGAAGCCCACGCCCGCGCCCACGAGCGCGCCCACCAACTCCACGCTCGCGCCCACGGCGTCGCCCACCAACTCCACGCTCGCGCCCACGGCCACGGCCCTTACCCCCAAGGTCCGGGGCTGCGGCCGGGCCGCGCTCGCGTCGGAGGCGAAGTGCAACAAGAACAAGCGGTGCAAGTGGGTCTTCGGGTCGCACGCGTGCATGTCCGACTGCGCGCTCGCGAACAAGAAGAAGTCCAAGTGCAACAACAAGAAGCACTGCAAGTACAACAAGATCACGAAAAAGTGCAAAAACAAGAAGCACGTGTGCAAGTACAAAACGAAGAAGGCGCACTGCCGCGCGGACGAGACCTGCGGCGTCAAGAAGCGCAACGACCCGAAATACGACGCCAAGGGCAACCGCGTCATCAAGTGCCGCACGCTCAAGGAGTAGTCGCGACAAGCGCGACAAGCACGACGCCGGCCGCGCGCGCCCCCGAGGCGCCGCCGCCGCTCCCGATCTGGAACCCCATGTACGATAACAGCTAAAGCTGCGCACGCATTAACCGTCCGTCTCGTTTTACGCGGGGAGGAGGGCTATGGAGAGCAGTTCATATGCCATACTGGGCGGGGGTGCGGGGACTGGGCCAGGGAGGCCTCTGCTGCGCCTCCGTCGCGCACCCGAAGGCGCCCCTCACCCTGGGCGTCGGACGCGCGCGGGAGACGTCGTGCGGCTCTCGTGGCGTCGCCCGCGCCCCGAGGCCCCCTTGTACATCAGCCTGAAAGCATCTATCGACATTCTGAAATTGCTCCTTGGCATCGTGCATAAGGCAACGTTAGCGTCGAGAAAGGCAACTCCCCGATCCACCACGTTTCTCTACATTTCTCCAAAAAATTTAGTCCGAGCGGCGATCGTGCAAGCGGCGATCTTGTCGACACAATCGCGCACGCGCTGACGAGTGCGACCCGGCGTCCGACGTCTTCCCCGCGTATCGTGCGACTTTTCGACCGCCCCGAGGGCCAAACCCCGGACTTTTCGAGACCCGCATCGCGAGTTAGAGAGTT